GTCACGATTTGCTGTTTTTTCCAACCCCCTAGATGCACAGCCGCACTGAGCGTGTTATACACGTTTACGGTATTAACTATGGACTGGACGATATGAACTCAAAAATAAATCCCTATTTTTAACAAAAGCCAAACATTACGAAACGATACACATCAAAAATGTATCACTATTCCAAACAACACAGAACACTCCATTCCCTCGTTTCCTTTTGTTCCCTTTTTTCCTGTTTGCAAGCACTTGTAGCGTCGTCGTGTCCTAAGCGCAGAGGCTGTCACTTGTCCTCTGCTCCAAAGAAGGGAAAAAAGGGGGATGAAAAATGATGCTGTGCACTCCGAAATGAATGGAGTAGGCCCAAAGACGCCCCCCCCCCCTTCCTCTTTTCAACCCCCACTCACAGGCGACGAACACGCCACAAATCATTTCCCATTTATTTACACGAAAAGAAAGAATTAGCTAAACTAGCTAATGCATTCGCTAATGTGGCCTTAGATTAGAATATTAGCTCTCTTAGCTAATTCTTAGCTAGGACAGCTAACAAATTAGCCATGACAGTTGTCTACAAAATAAAGGAACTAGCTCAAACTAGCTTATTCTTTTTTTCCGTGTAGCAGAGCTTCCTGGCTCGGGCTGTAAGCGGCTGTACGGCGATGAACTAAGCAACACGTCACATAACGCTTTAACAATTAGCGAGTTATTTGTGAGGCTATTCGGATTTTGTTTTATGCTTTTCGATTAAGACAAGAAGTCTCTGGACCGAAGGGTATTTTTGTACTTACTTACGTCACGAGAGCTCAATTCAAGTTAATCCAACAATCGTGTTACAAGACCCCTTTCTTTTCGAACAGTAGACTGACCATTTCTCAGGCGAAGCTGCGGACGCCTCCGCGCCTGCGGCGCGCTCCAAAAGTACCCATGGGATTTGGCGAGGCGGGGAGGAGAGAGAGAGAGAGGGCAAGTGGGACCCAGCTGGGTCCAGTCCTCCCAGGGAAGTTCGGTGCCCTGACTTACCCTGCTCAGTGCACGCAGGAAAACGGGATTGTCAGTGTCACGGAGGTTTCGACATGCATGCACCAGTGACAATGACCTCGCATGTGCAGTATGCCGTGACTACATACTTCGTACGTACGCACGCAAACGCCCGCTCCGCGCTGTAGAGAACGGGAAGGGGTAGGAGGAGAGACTTTGACTTCCGGTAAAGACAGTCTTGAGGGACTGACTAAAAAGATCGAAATGATGCCATCGTTCCCGCCCTGAAAAAAGACGCCCGGATACACTCGGACAGAAGTGCAGCGCGGTGGTCGGTGGTGGCGTGATGCCTCCTGTGCCTCCGGAGTATCGCTGACGCCGCGGCGTGTTGCCGGTCAGCGCCAGCTGGGCCGCAACGACCCTACTGCCACGGCGTAGCGACGCGCAACGATAAGGGAGCGAGGCTGGAGGGGGGCGATACCCCGCGCGGCAAAGTACAGTAGGCCAAGAGCCGTCAGTGCGGGCTAGGAGGGGTAAAGTACGCCGAGTACGCGCTACAACCGAAACGCGCGGGGACGGGAAACACACGCGTTAGACTCAGCTCAATGAAGCAAAAATTACTTACACCAAGAGCTATCTTACTTAATTTATGTCAGGCGAACTTTGTCGCATTCACCCCAGGGTCTCATGTGTGTTTCCCCCCAGTACCTTGCTGAGCAAATAAGAACGAGTTTTAACACGATTGTACTCACCATTGGTAGAAGTAGACACCACAAGGCACACGGCGAACGACACAACGGTAAAATCCCACGATGGAGGAGGCACGTGGAGGAAGGGGG